ATCATTTATTATTCTTTCTATTTTATCAATACAGTGAATTAAAAATAAATAATCTGTCTATTACATTGGATCATAGATTTTTTGCACGATCCTTCTGTTCATATATGAGCTATGAGAAACAATCTAATATCATTCGTCGTTTTTCAACGCATATCATATTTTTAGCCTTGAAATGTTTTAAATGTACATAGTAGATTCTATAATATTAGGTTTAGTAAAAATAAATCCATTATTTTCCCAATGTACAACTTGTCTGTATTCCGCGTAGGACAAGTCCGCTCGAGTTACGCTAGATGGCGTTAGAAAGATGAGATTTCATACCAAAAATATTGTTGACAATTTGGTATTTGGGTGACTCAGTTTTGTTTGAAAGATGGACACTAGCAAAGAGAACATACGCCATATTTTAAAGTTTTTCTTCGATAAAGGCTTAAATACAAGCCAGACTGCAAAAAATGTTAATAGTGTTTATAGTTCTGATACTTTAACAGCCAATCATGCGCAATTTTGGTTTCGTCGATTGCGTTCCGGTAATTTCGATGTCAAAGATGCGCCACGCACTGAAACGAAATTGCTGAGTTCGTCCTGCTATTGTCATGTAAGCACTATTTCGATTGCCCAAGAGCTAAAGATTGCACAAAAACTAAAAACCATTTGCAACAATTTGAATAAGGCTGGATACAAAAAGATGCTCAATGTTTAAATGCCATTCCATCTGCGAATCGCTATTGAATTGCAACAAAATCGACCCATTTTTAAAGCGATTGGTGACGGGTGGATCACTTACTACAACGCCAAGTGAAAATGGTCGTGATCAAATCGCGGTGAACCGGTTGAATTGATAATTAGTGACCAAGCCAGGATTAACTGCCAGGAAGGTTTTGCTGTGTGTTTTGTGGTATTGGCAGGGAATCATCTAATATGAGCTGCTCCCCTACAGCAAAAGTCTACTCGGATGTGTACTGCCAGCTTTGAACAATAGGAGAGCAATTTCGTTCTATTAGGACAACGTCAGGCCACACATATCGATAATGAATCGCCAAAACCTCCGGGAGCTTGGTTGGAGAGTTTTTATACATCCATTTTATAATCCAAATGCAAATATAATGGGTTTCTTTTTACTACACCTATTATTAATTGACACTTTTTGTTTATGGATTGCAGCGGAATATAAAATATTATCCACAGTTTTGAAGTGGAGATTATTTAAACGTATCTTAATACTGCTGCATGATGCAATGCATCGCTTTTAATTGCACATCATGATTTTGAATTTGAAAGTTTTAAATGTATATAGTAGATTCTGTTGTATTAATTGCATATATCTCGTTTTACATTGCTACCTATGTGTCTTCCTCCGCCTAATTACAATTCTGAAGTATATAATAATACACAGTTTCGAAGCGGGCATTATCTGAACTCATATGTATAGATTTGTCTCTCATCTTTCGCATTGGTAGAGATTTGGATGTTATTATGAACCATTTTTCTCAATATCCATCGTTTGGTTTTAGGTTGAAGACAAGTGTTGTATTCATCAAGTCAGATTTAGTTATATTATAAATAGTATTATAACTAATAAATACATTTCATTACCTGCTATTATAAATAATTAAAAAAGTAATGTATTGCTACTAAATGCGTTTGTGTTTAACATGTGACGTTCCACCCAAAAAAATAAAATTATTCAAGTACAACCACTAATCTTTCCATACCAAAGTAAACGTTTGTTTATTAGTAAAAAGTTGTTTCAAGATAAAGTTTTTACCTTGTTTTACCAAATATAATTTTAGAACATTACTTTTAAAAAATTATTTCAAATTATAATAGGCGAATGTAAACAAAGCGCCATGCTTTCGCTTATTTATAGTGTATACTACTAATATGTTATGTTAATCAACTCAGGAAGGAATGAAGTTTCCGATCCCCATAACAAAGCATATTTATTATTTAACGATTGTTGTTTACTGCGCAAAGTAAATCTTTTGTCGCGTTATTCCATAATTTATATTGATGGGTATTTAATGCTCTCTCAATCAATTCGGCTCTAGTGTTGACATATATGCGCCCAATTTGTATTTCAATTTGAAAATTTAAAAATTTGTTGAAATCATTAGTCACTTCCAAGCTGTAAATGCGTGAAAATATTTGAATTGAGTGTGAGTGATTTCCCCACTTCTGACTTGCAGCAATCAGAGGCAGAGGATGCACTGCGTTCACTTACCTACCGACACTGGCTGGCGTTAATGGACTCACCGTATGCCGTAAAGATTGTAGCAAAGTAAATATAAACAAACGGAAAGCAAATGCGTTGCGCACTGGCCTGGCCTGGCTAGGCGGTCGATCTTCATAGTAAAAAGTGTCGACTTGCTGAATTCCAAGTTTGTCGAATCATTGTTCTGTGCCGGAAATGAGAAAATTTTTGTTTCTTTCTATGTGTACATGGTATATATTCTTTTTTTTTCCTTCCCAATAATAATGTATTTTATGTATGGAAAAAATTGCGTGCTAAAGAGCCGCGAAAGCAATGAGAAAACAATGACGACACAGTGGAATACTAATTAAGTGTTAAACAGCAAAAATATCAAAACTGTTTTTTTTTTATATATTTTAAAATTAATATTAATATTATTTAAGTTATAAGGTATAAAGTATAAACTATATAAATCTAAAAACATGCGCATTAAATGTTTACAAAAAGTTTTACACTAAATTTTTTCTTTACATTCTATTTTTAGTGAATCCCATTTGTACACTAAAAGCGTAACGGACCAAGACGAATCCATCCAATAACTGCGTCACATTAATATTAAACAAAAGTTATTAATAATAAATTAACAAACGAAATTAGGTTCAAATCAATTTATTAAATTAAGCAAACCAACAACAAAAGGTAGTAAATCATAAGTTGAAGGCACAGCGATTAAAAAAGTATCTCACAATCACAATGGAAACTTGAAATGCTTGAACGTTTTCGTTTAAGTAACCTGAGTTCACGTTTTCGATTTCGGGGCACAGAACTGGCGCGCGACAAGAAACAACGTCAACAATGCGTAACTGTATTATTTCTAGATGACACCACGCACACCTTTCGGATAGAGGTAATTAAGACATACCATACACTACGAATACAAGGCATATCTAGTAGTTATTCTACATACAATCGTATATGCTAAAATAAATATAATTTATGGTTTTTAAGAGTTTCTTACATCTATAAAATTATTTTTATTTATTTTTTATTTTATTTTTAAATTAAATTTTATTGCTTTAATTTTTATAATGAAT